GTCACCGCATGTCTTTGAGGAGACCACTACGGATACTCAACGTTGCCGATGCAATTGGCCGAACTGGCCACGCGAGGAAACGTTCACTCGCTACCGGCCGCAGCATGCAGGTGCCCGCTCTGACTCGCTATAGAGTTCGTCTCCGAACATCCTCATCAACTTGGACCAGTCGCAATCAGCCGGTTCGAGACTTCCAAAATGCCGTGCTGGTCTGTGCAGCCAATGCTACTCAACGCTATCCGTATCTGTAGACGGACACGGATAACCACCTTCGCAACAGGCTCAAACGACAGGGCTGAGTCATGACCTGTCGCTCCAAACTCTTTCCGTTTGCCCAAGCAGAAAGCTTCTGGAACCCTTCCATGGCTTCGCTAGAATCCAGCACCGCAGAGGTGGATACAGGGCACCCTTTGGAAGTGTGGATGGTATAATGTGACGCGTCTGTTGTCGACTTTTGCGTCTCTCTAGCACGCCACGAAAAAGACAGTCAGTTCAACAACATCTGCGGTGGGCGACGAAACGATTGATGCCTGTCATTTGTGACAAATTTGCGCTGCTGCCATAGACCGCCGCCCGGCCCAGCCGCAACATTCGGCGCGCAGGAGCTTTCTGAGCACTTCTGGCTTTGTCTCCTCGCTTGATCAGAGCTAGATTGCGATCTGGCTCACCGAGAAAGCTCTCATAGGAATTTGGAGGTCAAATTTCCAACAGTCAACTTGATCCGCTACCAATATCCACTGTGGTCTCGGTGTCCCTTAGTATACGAGCTCTTCACCGGCTGATCGAGACGGGATCTCCGTGCCCCCTCGACAAGACTAGGGCCCCTGCACCATCTTGACACCTTGACCTTCGGGTCATTATGAAGCTTGAACACAGCATAGTTTTTTTTCTTCTTAATATATTTTTTTTCACAGAAATCAGGGGCAACCTTCACCGACAGCTCAGTCTCGGCGGCCATAGCACGTACGTGGCGCCGGCCCCGTTGAAGAGAGATCCTCGCGGCGGGCAATTGGTCGGAACTGGCTCCGGGGCAGGCTCTTCACCAAACGTGGCACCAACCAAAACCCAACTCAGCGCTGAAGTTCGAGCTCCCCACAAGCCCTGTCGACATACCAGCATGGCTGGGGTCGCCCAAAGGGCCGTTTTCCTTCAATTTTCCGTTGGTCCCAAGTGCCTGGCAATGAAAGCCTTGTCTGCAAGGTTCTTGGACGTTAAATTTCGCTCCGGCTTGGTCAACTTGAGTCGGCGTCTGTCGCTGGTCGGTCGTGGGATCGCAAGCCACGAAAGGTGGACACAAAGGATCACGGCTTCATCCGCCGGCCCAGCATGCGGAATTGTGGACAGAGGCGCGTTGCACATGGCGGCTTGGTGGAGCTAACCGAAGTGGTGGGCGTGGCAGGTCCTCACCGTTGGGCTGGGTCGGGTTGGGCTTTGACAGGGTACAACCTCATCAGACCTCAGGGTACCATTTGACCAGCCGGCGAGGTTCCCTCTTTGCCACAGAAGTCACATGATTGCCCTCGAATGCAACGGGGTTTGCACATACGACTACCGGTACGCGAGCATCGCTGGGCGTCATTCGCACACGCGCGACGAATTGGAAAGCATCACTGGTTGTAACCACTTATCTAGAAGGCATCGAGGCGGTCTCCGAGACGAGAGCGTTCAGCAGCCATCGGCTCACGTTGGACGGCAATTGGTCTCCCGAAAAGGGGGCGGAAGCATGAGCTTCTTGATGATGGACGACCGGTTCCTCGGTATCCAACCGAGGAGGGTCACAATTTTACCCCTGTTTCATCGCATATTTCCCCCAGCAGACCCAAGCCGGCGAATGGGCTAATGCAGGAACGGCGGTGCCAACAGTTTTGATTACCTTGCTTTGAGCAGTACGGGAGCAACGGGTAGTACGTACCGCCCTTCTCTGGACACGTGTGCCATATATCGTCCTGCCGCGGTAGGTCCCTCCACCTACTATGTATGGCGAACCCTCATACGGATATGGGTAGGTACTGTTGGACCTCGTCGAGTCGCGAGTTGCTTTACCAGGCCTGTTTCCCAGTAAATGCTGATTTATCTCAGACCACTCCATACACCCACCGAGCCATCAACCTTTTGCTTTCGGCCGCAAGGTATCCTCCCCCGAGAACCAGATGCCCGGATATCTATCCTCGAGGCCATCGACAAGGCGTCTTGGGCCCCGGCGCCAACCAGCCTCCAGAACCCAGTATTAAGAGCTACAACAGACCGGGCAACGATCCCGCGAGGATCCCTGAAACATACAGTGCAATCATTAGCCCCGGGACAAGTCAACACGGTGTGAAGTATCGCAGTACATAGGACCGAGTGGATTTTCTGGGTGGATCCTGGAGGAGGCCCTTATCACCCACCTTTTTACCAGGGTATTCTCATCCCCAACGGCGGGTTTCCTGCACTGAGCCAGTTCCCGAGGAGGCGAGGGCTGATGCAGGGCTCCCAAGTGTCTTTTACTTTATGCTTCCATGCTTCCACAGCTTCTGGAAGGCTTCGATGCAGCAGCAGTTCACTAGAAGGACAGCGCTCAGGTCCCCTGTCACCGAGCCCTAGAGGCGAACAAAGGTCCCTGAATCCGCCGTCAGACAGGGAAGCCTTGGCTGAACGACATGGACGGGGCCGAGGGGTATGCGAACAAACGACCGCAGCGCAATGGCAGCTACGAATACATACAGAGAAAGGCGACGTCTGCAGGGTTCCGGATTGATTGATGGGAAAGTTGTCTCGTCCGCCTATTTCGAGCAATGGGGACGCAACGCTACGCGAGATGGGAACCGAAACGAGAGACAACAAAGGCAACGAACGTTGTTGGACCTTGCCTTCTGTGGAAACATGATTGTTTGCGGCTACTGTTCGTTAACCAGCAAACCAAGTTCGTCTTGAACGACATGTTTGCTCACCTGTCGTTTTCGTGCTGTTAGCAATGACAGAGGTGATGATCGTGTAGGCCATCGCCAACCAAACGATTCACTTGGCGAACTTGTGACTGCAGATACTCTGTACGGAAACTGGGAACCCTGCCGCTGCCGCTTTCTTCCTCAATGATCATTTGTGACAGGGAGATCGTTGGTTTGCACGCACAATCGCCGCGAATTCTAGATAGGATGGGAAACGTGTTTCTAGCGACAAAACTTTCCACCACTATGGTCAGCCCATGCCACGCCCACCGATGCATCGCCGCACCAGTTTCGATTATACCAAAGACAATAGAACATCACAGCGCCGAAGCAACCAGAGTAAAGTCTTTTCAGGAGAGATGCAATCAGAAGACAATCAGCGATAGGAAGCGAATCATTGCTTGTCAAAAGTTCAATCGCCAGGTACTCACAATATCGGTGCGTCTGCAAATGACTAGACTGGTATGCGGCGTGCCTCATCAACGACATGGGCTGCGCGAGCGGACGGGAACGACCCGCTCGCTTCATGCAACCACTGAAGCCCGTCTCCTGCTTGTCTTCTTTGGGTGAGCGGTCAGTGTTTGGTGGCTCACCAGCAAGTCTGTTACATGCCGTATTGAGAACAGAGGCCGTGGCGATCGTTGTTAGATGAAACAGTCTTACCGCGGACTGATCTTCGTCTGAGGGGCTTCGCGGTGGAAAAGGCTAGTGAGGAATCCGCCGCGGATCTTCCTGGCGCGATGCTCACCTACTGCTCGGAGGTGACAGACACGGAAGGTCGCTGACCTAAATTCGCCTTTTACCCACCTGGCGATCGCCTCCATCATGAGAGGACGTTGAGAATTCTTGTTTTTGCCTCGGAAGCATGATCAAGGACGCGCCGTTAAAAGATCATCACTAATGCACCCCTGCTCATCCCGTCTTGAACCCTACGTCCCTGAGAATTGCCTCAGTTCCAAGGAGAAAAGATACTGACATTCGGAATCTTCGACTGAGTTTCAAAGACTAGACAAGCCGAGCCCGAATAGTTCAGATGGTGCGCCCAATCAACGGCATCTTTGGGCCTACTCTGTGCACTCACTCAGGGAGCTACTTACCTACCTTACTTCACGCTCTCTCACCCTGTCAATCGTACAGGAGCAGCCGGTTCTCCGGATACTAGAGATTTGCGGATATGAGAACTGACGCAAATCCTCGCATCGCTTGAGGCAGATGCTCAGACTCACGCTTCTAAACCGGCCGGCACCGGAACGGAAGACCCGTCGCCTATCTAGTCAGAAGAGACAAGAAGGCACACGTCGAGACGGGCGTACCGTCAATTTTCTGGCGATTCAGCAAGTTGAATAATGTCTTGGCTAAGCGGATCTTGGACCGCATGCCAGTTGCCATCCGTTGATATGTTGGTGCACAGCTGCGTCCCGTCCAAGAAACATTGGTAAAGTCCCGTATCGCCCATGTACCTCTGACTGAGGGCTACCCGTCCAGCCATCCTTCCGCGGCCGCTATGAAAAACTTTGGAGGAGGGTTCCGAGCGGCCGTCAATAATTCCTTTTGGATCCCGAGATATTGAGTCCGTGTTTCGCGATGATGACGACACACGGGTAAACGTTTCTGGATCCTGTAGGTTCAACATTGCACTGCGCCTTTGTGGACAGTTGGTTTACCTGACAGCGGTTGTCTTGTTCCCGTTCCCGAGTGCGCCACGACGCGGAGAACCTCACAGTTCTGTGACAGAACGGGATTTTCAGGTTAAGTGAATCTGACAGAGCCATTGATTTGGTTCCCGCCCGCAAATTGGCCGAAGAGGACGCGAAGAATGGGTTCTGGCAAGGTGCAGAAACGTGGGCCTCGTACACAGGATGGTATTGCAAGCACCGACCCAGGACGGGAACGAATTATCAGATGCTGTGGCTCATCGCGAGGCACGACGGATAGGTCGCACACTAGCCTCAGCAACGACTAGGAGTTGGCTGGTTGCATGCCATGGATTGGTTATTGACCGAATATGCTGGATCTAGCCGCCTCTCAAGGTGTTTTGTCCAACGGGACAATTCCAAGGCTCAGACAACATAGGCCATTTCCGCAGCCCGCCCTCGTGTTCGGCCTGATAGCAGCAAATCCGCATAGGAGAAGCAAATCAAGATTTTGCAGACGATATCATAAACAAGCCGACGGGAGGTGCGCGGCTCGAAGCGAACATACGGATGAGTTCTTACTCTCGCCTTTTTTACCCGACAAGCTGTCCATGACTGGCGGCTGGGAAGAAAATTTAGAAGCGGAGCAGGGGAAGTAGCAAGCCGAAGAAGCAAAAGGAGCAGCCAGGATGACCGACCTGGAGTGCCTGGATATCATGGTGCTCACCGAGGGGGCACGGGCTCAGCGGCGTGAGGAGGCGTGATGGGCAACGGATCGCTGTCACCATTCCCCCTCCGAAATGAGGAGCACGGCAGGGAGAAGAGTGACACGCCCGGGTCGTCGTCGCCGGCCGCCCGCCAAAGCTGCTCGAGAAACCAAGGGATGGAATGTACGAGGCAGTCTGATTTACGCTCACCATCATGAGTCGGACAGCCACACTTGGACAATAGCATATCGGCGCTGTCAGGCTGGGCCCGGCCATGGCTGTCCAACGAAGGCATCACAGGGAACGCGACACACAGAGTTGTAATCACCGAGAACCATCGGCATGGATGCCTCCGTATAATGCGACCCTTCGTGCAAATTGCTGCTTCGGTTTGGCCCGCAGCTAGAGCCCACACCCGCCCGAGTCGTGGGAGTCAGACGGAACGTGCAGCCCTCATCAGAATGCAAAGATGGGAGAGCCTTGCAACAATAAGCAAGAATGGGCGGAAGAAGAGACGAGAAAGCGAAAGAGAGGGTGTGCAGCAATTTTGGCAAGCGAAGTCTCTTCGTGTGTGTGAAGGGATATCGGGAACCGAACTTGCAAAAGCATCGAGACTCTCTACTCTTTTCACTTTTCTTCTTCAATGCGATTTTCCTCTCTTACTAACACGACATGGCGCATGGCAAGTAGCTATTTTTGTTTACTGCAGCACCTGCTCCGATGAATGTTGTGCACACACACAAACACAGCCAAGCTGAGCTGAGCTGAAGTGAGCCGGGAGGGCGAAGCTAATTAAAGGATGCGAATGACTAAACAGAGAGTTTTTCGCAAAGCATGCGACAGCAGCGTTTTGAATCGGGTTGCAGCGAATACATGCGCTAAGGACCGCGGCAGAATGACAGGTCGGCAGCACGCAGAACAAGGGTTCTCTCAAGCCGCTATGTCTGAGAAAAGGCTCTGGAGGTGGAAGTGGAAGCATGGGAGAGGTGAAGTGCGGGAGGGAGACATGGAGGGAGGGAGGCATGCAAGCATGGGAGGGACACATACGAAAATCCGTACACACACACACATACAACAATCAGCAGCATGGCAACGTGGATTGGGAGCAACGTCGAGGCTCGTCCTGCAGTCCTCCATCATCACCCTTTCATGTGTGCGTGGACGGATGGATGAATTGGTCGGATAGAGTGTACCCCTGGCGGCCACTGACCCCTGCTCTCCGTGGTCTTTCAGGAAGATCCTAGTAGGGGCGACAACCGTCAGTGCAGAGCGCAGCAGGAGACAAGCAGAAGGGCAAGCCGCAAGCTGCTATCAAAGATGGAGACGGGGATAAAATCGAGGTGTTCCGGTGACCCTAAGGTGAGGACGGATGGAGCGATACGTACCGGCAAAAGGAACCTCGGCGTCCCATGTACCGGTGGATATCTGACCTCACTGCCGTTCAGTACAGAAAGTACGGGGCACGAAGCACAGAGTATCCGTAAGTATCTCTGATTCTCTGTCCACTCTCCCTTTCCCCATCTCCTATTCCCAGAGCCCATTCTTTGCTCGGCGGTCCTTCTTGTGGGACAGAAGTTACCTCACTCGCTGGTCAGTGGTCTGCCTGCCCCAAGTGGATGGGTTTGTTTCACTCCCATTGCGGATGCACTGGTGTTGAAGATACCTTACTTGTACAGGCTCAAACGCAGTGTACGAGTACCGGCGATGTGGTGCAAGTGCCCTGCTGCTCCGTACGGATACGTACGTGAGGAGCCCTGCACTCTTTCTGGTGCTTCCATTAGTGGACCAGCCCAATGTACCGGGAATCAGTCATCGCAGACCCTTTTGCATTTGCGCATTGTCTTTCTTTCTTCTTCTTCTCTTTTCCTTTTCGTTGTTTTCTTTCCTTTCCAAGGCCGCGATTTTGGCTGCTTCGCCATTGAATTTTCACCGGATCGCGCCAGTCGTGCAGACATGAACCATGCTGGTTGGGCCTCAACGGCAAGTGCTGGCAGGAGACCAGCGGCGCAAAGTAGGATCAGCGACTAATACCAAAGGTACGGGATAGGCGGGCTGGGGACAAGCCGCGAGACGAGTAGGAGCCAGACAGAACACTTGGACCTCAAAATAGGACATAGAGAGTATGGTGAGGCAAGGTAGGCACCATTCAAGCTGCTTCACCTCGCCGCCTCAAGTTGGCCGAGCTAGGGCATTCCACCATTTCAGTCGCCCTCTCCCTGAAGCCAAAAGGAGACCAAAGGCCCTGCCTGAGTCCTGAGTCCTGACTCTTTGCTGCCACACCAAGGTTGCGCAGTCACGCAGTGCGCATCCACCGGCGAGAAGCCACGGCATGGCTCTAGTCTCGATTGGCACAGTTCCAAGAGCTTCCCCGATAGCCTAAGGAGACGGGTGCGAGGTAGCCGCTACCTCATAGTAGTCTGTACGTTCCATGCTTTCGCCTCTGAACAACAATTCTGTACGGATCAGCCTCGCAATGCCAATCATCGAACAGCGGAACAAGCAAGCACTTTCAGCTGCCTCTCTCTCTCTCTCTCTCTCTCTCTCTCTCTCTCTCTCTTTCGATCTCCCGCTCGGGCTGTCCCTCTTTACTACGGATATACCCAGCCACCCAGGGCAGTCGCGATCATCCATACGTACCTGATTATCGGCATGGAGCAAGGATTCGCGTTTGGCTTGCCTGAAGTTGTTTTACTCTGCTCATCTTCTGAGAGCAGCAACAAGTACTCCGTACGCAGCGAGTATCTACTCCGTAGGGTACCTTACCTTAGCTGGGCAAGGTGCCAGGCACAAAACGGGCTACGTACGGGTAGCTAAAGTTGGGTAGGTAAGGTAGGTACATTACGGAGTACTTCGTACCCAAAGCGCCTCTCTTCACTTTGGGGCCCGGTACGGGTACCTGGCATAGGCATGGCATGGCATGGCGTGGCGTGGCATGGGACGGGCATCTTCTTGCAAGGAAGCCAGGGCGTGGCGTGGCTCTTGGGCTGGCTAATGCCACACCCCCTTCCCTCCTTTCTCATCCATGATCTCTCACCTCCCCCCTCCCCCCCCTGGACAACATGAAGGGGGCCCTGGGGCCTGGGGTCTACTGTCTGGGTACCACGGTACCTTGCCTGGGACCTAGCCGTCTCGCCCGGGGGGGGGGGGGGGAGGGTGCGGTTTCCAGACTTGCAGGATGAGCAGCGGCAGCAACAACCAGAGATGCTGGTCCCCATCCATCCATCCCTTCCCTTGGTTCCCTTTTTTTGCCCTTTAATTTTTGGTGGAAAGAGAGAGGAAAAAAGCAACCACCAAACCTGAGGAACATTACACCACTCCGTAAGGTACCTTACACCCAGACCAAGAACCAAACCAGACCAGACCATACCTGGCCCTGACCAGACAGCCCCCGAAGGAAAGGTACTTACCTCTTCCTGGCCCTACCTCACCTTGCAAGTCGCCTTACATGGTTCCAGTCCAGCACCAGTAGCCCATGAACCCCCTTCCCTGCGCTCCCGCCCTGACATTACATTACCTACTTTACATTGCGAACAAGAAAAAAAATTTCCCATTCTCGGTCGGGGCGTCTGGAATAAGACTGAGAGACTTCTTAATCACCTCCCTCCCATCCGTCATCTCCTGTTTCCATTCTTCTGAATTCCTATCCTCACTTACCACTCTTCCTCTTATTCCCATCCTCCCCCTCCTCCTCCTCCTCCTCAACGGCGTATCGCTCTGGTCTCTCTACATCTCTATCTCTCTCTCGACATCTTCTACATCTTTCTCTGCTACTTGCCAGCATCCACTAGCTTTACCACCACCAAAAGCATCAAACCAGCACCAGCACCAGCTCTCACACGCACGCGCTCCATCACACACATAAACGCGCCCCCCTTTTCTCCTGCAAGCTCACCGCAGTCCCTGGGACCACCAACGTTTGCCAACACTTCAAACAAAAAGCCGTTCGCGCGACCCACCAGCAAAAGCAGTTACTGCCCATTTCCTCAGCTCACTAGACTAGCGAGAGAACCTGCAGCAAGCTATCCTCGTCTCGTCTCGTACCGTTCCGCACCACACCCTACACGCCTACCATACCTGGCAATACTCTCCGCGACCCGCGCTTCACAAGAGAGGATCAGAACAAGGGACACACATTTTCAAGACTGTCCAGGGAACCCGTTTATTCCAAGACCCGATCCCGAACCGAATCAAATAATATCACCAAAACACAAGGGAAATTCCCCATCCAGAAGCGACTTTCCGAGACCTGCGCAACCACCGTCTCGATATCCAGCCCAAACCCCGACGGCACACCCACAACACGACATAAAAGACTTCCCGTCTGCAACTGCGCAAAGCCCATCCTGCTCGAGCCATCCACATGCAACGGTGCCGATAATACACTCCCTCGCTTCCTCCGGACCGCCTGTTTTGCCTCAGCTCCTCCTATTTTCTGCGAAACAACTGAGCAGCATTGGTGACGCCCAATTTGGCAACATACCCAGGCCTCCTTGCATCATCACCGCCTATTCACCCCCGTCAACTCTCACCAATCCCATCTCCTGAAGACACTCGCACCCAAGTCTTCAAGGCCGCTTTCCAACACGTCGCACTACGACGTTCTACATTGTGAGTCACGGTTGCAGCAATGGAATCCACTAGCCAATTTTTCTACACCTTGTGCGCATACTCCCATGTCCTACACCGGACTGCCATGTACCATCTTCACCGTCTTGTCGCGTATGGCTTGTATAAAGTTGACGCTCTATCCTCGTTATCCTCGAGAGATTTGACCGAATCATGGCTAACAAGCGATTTCAAAGACACTCAAATCCAATCAATTCTTGCTTTCGAAAGCACCTACAACATTCAAAATGGTTGTCAGAGAGATTACTCCCGCCTCCAACATGGGCCGCGGTGCCTACGACACGACTGGAGTGCCCAAGCCTCCTCCTCGCCCCAAGCCTCGATAAATCAGCCTCGTGCTGATTATCCTGATGAGCGACACACAATTGACGTGCCATGAGCACGATCCGACGAATTCCACATCTCAACTGGTCCGCGGGCTCAGGCCAACGCGATGATTTTCCCACGCGAGCTCGAGAGGACTCAACCCCCTACTTTCGGCGCTACCGCGTGTCTTATTCGATCATGCACACTCAACCCACACTTATCCTCTACAACTCTACTAATACTGGCGGTCCATTTCCACCTGTACTACCTCATCTGTACAACCAAACGTCCTGGCCGATTTTCGCAACATTTTTTTTTATCATACACCATTTAATACGCATACCTGTCGAAGACTAGAACATACCGGCTCGCAGCCACCACTTGCTTCCCAGCAGCAAGGCGAATGGGAACGCCTTACACGGTTTTCATGATGTGGCATCGATTTTATTTTGTGTGCTTGTGGGATCATTTCATCCCACCTGCACCAGGGAAAAGAAAACAGGGCATGGCGTTACAACATAGACGGATCTGGGTTTCTTGAACTTTGGCTCCTTTTCGACGGGAACTTCTTTTATTGTCTTACAAAACGTTTGTTTCCTGTCAGCTCTCACATACCTCATCTGGGCCCTCGACGTCCTACGATACGACACTCGGCGACGGGACAATATCCCCGGCGGATCCATTCCAAACTGTCGGTGAGTGCTTCGCAGGCACTTTGGTCGGGCAGCAACGCATGACAACGCAACCACCATCCTCGACGCACATGGCTCGCAGCCGCCTTAGCCGTCAAATTCGAGGGTGTGAGACGACAATCTTCTTTTTACATGGGGTTTCCTCGGACAAGGGCACAAAAGAAACATGCAACTTCGGGCGCTTGTTTTCCTTTTCTTTTTTTTCCATCTCAATTTTCCATTTTATTTCTTTTGCTTTTACGTTTTGGGCAATGCGATTCTGGGACGGGCTACAAAAAATCTGGGAACTGGACTGGGAAAAGAACTGATTCGCATATAGACTTTGGTTTTCTTTCATTTTGTTTGTACCAACTACCCCCCTGTATTCTCTAGGTTTGGTTGACTTTGACGCACAACCAGCTACCTCGCGGTCCTGGTTTTGAGCGAGAGCACCAAGGATATGTCAGCAACGCTTTCCTACTTTTTATTTTATTTTCCCTTGTCAGAACAACAAGGCGATGGCGATGATGGATTTCACTACCACTACACTTTTACTATTCCCCCATTTCTTTTTTTCTGCTTTCTCATGGTGTGCTCGAAATCAGGGGGCTCCACGGCCAGTCGTTCGTCCATCTGTGGGCGAAGCGGGCTTGGATGGACTCTGGGATTGACAAAAGAAGATACCCCGCGGGTTTAGCCCTCTTTAGACTGCATATGTATAGTACTGCCATCTACAAGAGCCAAGATAGCTACACAGCGCCAGCGCATAGGAAGAGGAGATATCCAAATTCGAAACAAGAAACATTTCAAATCATATTACATCACTCTTTTTTTTTTTTTTTGCACACCGATATTTGACTTGAAGCCCTACTGATACTGCCTACCTAGGCGAGTGCCCAATCTGACGTAGAGACATTCCAGATCTGGCAGATGTGCGTGAGTGTGTGCAGGATGCATCTGAGACAGACAGGGGTGGTTGTTGAACGAGAGCATTCCTCACCCCGTATGAGGGCGGCGGCCGGCGTTGCTCTCGATGGCCATGCCATGCCATGCGACTCGACACATTCGACTCGGTTCGAGAATTCTTGACTGAATCGAAGTGAGGTGCCCAAGTAATTCAAATAAGGAAGAGGCGACGGCAAGACATGGCAAAAGTAAGGTAAAAGGTAGCTGATTAATTCCAAGCGCAGGGGCACCAGCTCGGTCTGCCGTAAGGGGGCAAAGGGAGAGAGGATGATGTACAGCTAGTCACCGCCCACACACACACGCGCGGGACGTGTATCTGGGGAGGAAAGGGAGAGAGGTTTAGTTCACTTTGGCACTTTGATGTAGTCACGATAGTGTACATAGACAATCGGATAGGTTATAGGGAGGGGACGGGAAGGGGGCCACACAAGATCGGGGGCCGGGGGAGGTACGGATGCGGACGCGGATGCGGGATGCGGGAGGGGGCAAGTTGAGGAGGAGGAGGAGGAGGAGGAGGAGGAGGGTCTAGACTCTGGGGAATGCGACCACACGTGAAGGGTTTAGTTTAATCCCGCCCATCCTCCATCGTCATGTTGAAAAGTCCTCGGCCGAGGCCAAGAACGTTGGGTTCCAGTCACCGGCTGGCATTGATATGGCATGACAACGAATTGGGAGAAGGCACATGAGGTAGTAGTAAGTAGTAACAGCAGCAGCAGCAGCAGTAGTGGTAGCAGTGAATGCGATAATAAGCAAGCAAGCAAGCGGCGGCACGACACATCACGGGGCCGGCATGCGAACTACGAACGACTTACATGATCGACCGGGGGGGGGGCTGTGGACGCGGTTCGCAGACGCGTTGCCGACGACACGTTGTGTCGTATGTATGTATGCGCGTAGGTGCGTGCGTGCGTGTGTGCCTGCCGGCGACTCGAACAGGCCGAGTCGAACGAACAGAACAAGCAAAGGAGCCTGCTCCGGACGTGGTCGCCGTTTCTGCCGCCACACACCCTGTATTGCTAGTGTCTCCCCCTTTCGTCTGATCAGAGACTTGAAGCACCATTTGAGGAACGCGGAACTAGCGAGAGACAGAGAGAGAGAGAGAGGGAGGGGGACGGTCGGGCGCTTATGCGCTGCAGCGTCAATCGATTTAGCGGGGGTTAAGGAAAAAGAGAGACAAGTACATGACAAGCATAGGACAAGACATGAATGACTTTTGATTTCTTGAAAGAGAGAGAGGTAAGGGGGGGGTGGTTGAGACTGTGGTGTGGTCTATGTGTGTGGTGTGTGATTCGTTAATCAATCCTCTTTCGGACTATGGCAAGGTAAAAAAGAAAGGAAAAATGAGCAATGTGGTGATACAGCCCATTTTGCTTTTTTGATGTTCTGAGCTGTGTCGTAGATCGTGTTTGCATGGTGGTGCGTCACGGGCGTGTGCGTGCAGCCGGGGAAGACGGATCGAACATGGATTTGCATGTTCAAATTTTTATTATTATTTTGTTTTTGCTTTTTTTTATATATTTTTTTATATTTTTGGTACAATCAGATCACAAAGTCAGGTGAAGGATTTCCAATGGTCAGGGAATTGATGAGAAGCAAAGTTGTTTTCTGTACTCTGTACTGGCCTGGGAACGCGACGCGAAAAGAGTTTGGATGAAAGGGTTTGTTCGGATGGCATGGCAGTTTTTTATTTTTATTTTGCATGGATGGTGCCTCTCTGTAAGGTCTGTATGGAACTACGGAAGTATGGATGTCGCATCTGGAGGCGTTCGTGGTGCTGCCACCTTTTTTTCTTGACAAGACCTTGCATGTTCGGATGTGACGTTGGGGTTTTGGTTTCTTTAAGAGACCTATTTTGGGTGGGTGGGTGTGTGTGTGTGTGTGTGTGTGTGTGTGTGTGTGTGTGTGTGACTCTATACGGAGTACAGAATAGGTATCTTTGGTCTGCGACTCTGAGTCGTTCATTCTCTTTTTCTCCCTTCTAGACTTTTGTTCGGTCCCGCGCGGAAGATGTGTTTTACGAGCCGGACAGCGGGCCGACTGAACGGGGCGTGAGCCGGGGCGCGGGACAGGCAGAAGCTGGGAGTGAAGCTGAAGAGAAGGGAGGGAGGGGAGTCGATCACGGGTGTATATTGGAACTAGTGATGCCCGCTGAGGCTGTAGTGTCATAGTAGTGTCGTGTTGATTTTCCCACGGATGCGACGTTGGGCCGTAGGGTTCCCCGAGATTTCGACGTGCCGAGACCTGAGAGAGCTACGGATAGAAGCCGGGCAATCTCAGGAGCTGCGCGAGCTGAAAAGGGTTGGGTGAATGGGATTTATTGGGTACAATGTGGAAGTGCATGCAGTAGTTTGGGATACGGGGATTGGATCACAGCATGGTAGTTGGGAAAAGGAGTTCGGTACGGATACCCTGAGGAGGTTGCCCGGCAGCTCGGGTGTTATCATTGTCGCATCACGATTGTCATTTGATGGGTTTGGAGTTCAAGTCGCGTACGTCGTCCAACCAATATACTGGGAGGTATCCGTACGGGAAGATATCGTATACGAGAGGCATACAACACCCTCCGAGACGACGGTTCCCGGATACGCTCGGTTCTGTAACGTTGAATTCGGTATGATGCCGTGTAAGTGTGCACATGGGTATTATTGGAAACACCATACTCCGGACTCCGTACAGAATATCCGGACTCCAAGAGCTGCGACCTGTCGTGACGCGTGGGACGAGGGAAGGAAGTCTACACGTTGGAACGATTTAATTCAGGAACAATCGCGAACACGCGCCGTGGCTGAAGCGCTGCGCGATTGTGTGTGTGTGTGTGTGTGTGTGTGTGTGTATCATATGATAGGAAGTTCCGAAATATTACAAAACTAGGTGTCGGTACAGCAGTGCTCCGTACGAGGTGGTCAAACTATTGCGCAATCAGGCAAGGTGCTAAAATTTTGGGTTTGATGAACTAAAATTGCCAAAGAAAAATTGTTGCAAGATAAAAAAGGGGAAATTTCAGGAACATACACACACACACTTACACCACCCTGTCCCCGGGGGGAGGAAGAACCAAAATAATTGTGGAAACACTAGAATTGGGAGGGCGAAAAGAAGAAAAAGGGGGTGGTGTGAGTTCAGTTGTGTGAGAGCTGACTTGCTGTATCGGCCGGGGGGGAAGGGGGGGAAGGGGGGCGCTGCGCAAGTGTGTTCGTACGGCGCTAATGCAGCGGCGGCGTCCCGGGAACCAAAGCGCTGGGACCTTCTTTTTTTTTTCCCTCTTTGCTGCTGTTCGGGAGTGGCCCGCGGTGGGCCGGAGGGAGAGATGAAACGGGCCTATCATTGACCGAGGTTCGCGCTAGGTACCATTTCGGTGTAGACCCGCTTCCTTCCATTTTCTTTTTAGGATGGAAGAAAGCTGAGCTGTCGGTGAGGTCCAGGTGAAAGAGGGAGGGAGGGACGAACGGACCCCACACCTGCACACCGGCACACACACACCTTGAGTCGCAAGGTGAAGGAGGCAAGGTAGGTACCACAGCAGGCTCAGCTCATCCGACCCGACACGGAAGGAGTATGTACGTAGTACATACGGAGTAGGGTTGCAGAGAACATGCAGCTACTGCGCGACCTGCAGAAGGTGCTGACCTATTCCGGTAGTTACAATGCAGGGAAGGAAGGGGGAACGTTTTGTTTCTCCTTTTTTTTTTCTTTTTTTTTTAAACTGTGAGACAATCAAAGGGGGCTAATTGTCGATCTCCTCTTTTGGCTTTAACATGACGAAAATTTGCAAATAGTCGTCAGTCGCTTTCTTCAGGTTTGCGGCTTGCGGCTTGCGGCTTGCGCTGCCCGACTTGTTTCGGCTCGAGGATTGTCTGCTTGTTTCCCCTGCATCGTCAATCACCAACGACACACATCTTGCATGCAAACGCAAGATTGACAACCACCATTGTTTGCGCTCCTCCAAGTTTCTCGAAAAGGGGACTGGCATCACATCACATCAAATGTCTCCATCACACGCTCGTTGGTCGTTGGCTTGCCGGCATTATGACAACTGACGGGTTTGGCGCAAACCAACAAACCTGTCATTCAAGTACCAACTTATCAGTACCTACGGAGTACAGTACCAACAACTAGCCATCAATCAACGTCCAACGGCCGAAAGTCAAGAACAACCAACAGACACAACCCGCATATGGAGCAAACATGCCCACGCTGCGTCTAGTTTTCGACCAACGAGATAGTTCATCCCACCCCCCCGGTCTCTCTTATTGGCCATATGCACGGCGCGAGATTGAACCACTCACACACACCAATGATATCCAAGAGGCAAACCTTCTCTACTCTGTACTTCGTACCTTAATCGTACCGGCAATTTGGGACACGAACTCGGGTTTGGTGGGCTACATTGCTGCAGCTTTCCCCCTTCCCCGGGTTATCAAAAATGGGTATCTCTACGACGTACCGGATATGCGCCCCAGGCCAAACGGATCACTTCGGTGCTACCCGTACGGCACGCACCAAATAGCCGTTTACCAGCTGCAGGAGGACTGACTGCCAGAGCGTTTGTTGACCGAGTCATCAACATCTTCCCATTCTTTTGGCTATCCTCGGCGCTTCTCGGCCGTAGCCGAAGAATGGCTGTGTTTTTGCACTGCGTTGCTGCGCATCCAGATCCGCCGTGGGTATAGAGTATGTGCAACTGTTATCAAACCGGAGCGCATGGCAATTGCATAGAAAACAGACGCATAGCAACGACGGCCCCCCATACCCCATTCCGGAGATCATGAGCCACATCTCAGCTCACCGAGCCTTCATTATCACGCGGCAGACATACCACCGAACTGAGTACACGCCACATCGTGAACGAAACGGCTCAGCAGGACGAGACAGCGTGAATCAATGCTCTTTCCCCCACCCCCACTTAACCAGGGAGGAGAATAGAGCCTCATCCAGTTTGCCAGTTTCCTGGCTCGGTTCGGTTTGGACATCCCACGTCTGGCTTTGGTCTTCGCCTTGCGAAACGGGGGGAAAGGGGGCCCGAGGAGGCGCATATGAGCGGGGGGCGCATATCGATGCATGCCCTTCGGGAAATGCGACGTCTCGACCGAGTGGTCGGGTCCTTCTACGTCTCATTCTGTCCCTCTGTTCGTCTCCTTGACACCTGACTCCGCGATGTCTTTGATGTCTTTGGAGACGACTGGATAACGAAACCCCCACGTCGCCGCCCCTTTCGCGTTCGTCACCGAGAGGCGAGTACTACCGGGATACTTCGTACCTAGATAGGGCAGACGTACCTTTTTCTGAAGAGGGTCAGGATATTTTGACAAGCAGAGATCATCCTTCCGACGTTTCATCCCATGTTTCTCTCCAACAACCGCTTGCGCGCCGCCTAGGGCCGTCCGGGTCATCAACTCCCTCACCGGTGCGATATGCTCCCTTCCCCGGCTTCCCTGCGCGTCGTCCCCAACCTCTGGAAAAATCTCTTCCCCATGCCTCCTGTCCTTACAAGGGGTTTTCCTTCGAGAAGTTCCTTTTGATGGAGACGCAAGGCGTGATGATGAGGGTCCAATTCGGTGAGTGAAAGCCCTGGCCCTTGGCCTTGTCGAATAGACCGCCTGACCAAAGCCTGGGAAGACGGGGCTCCGGGAGAAGCAGAAAATCTCACGGGGAGCCAAGACGAGTGGCAAGGTTCTGCATATCTCAAACTGCCAAATTTCCCGGGGCCGCGGTTTGGGATCTTTTTTTTGCTCACTGCTTTCCAGGTTCAAGGAAGTGATTAGAGAGGTCCCGCAGACAAAAGGTCCCCGCAACAAACGGACAGCCGTTGCCAAAAAAAAAAAAAACCGCTTTTTCTCTCGTCTCTCTTCCCACCAAGCCATGCGGACACTGTAGCCGGGGCATGGCCCCCGGGTCCCCGGAGGCATGATTTGAAAAGCCTCAAGGGCTACGGGCAGGGGGACAATGGAAGAAGCAAAGAAGGAGGAAGAAGGTCCCTCTTTTTCCTTCTTCGCTCAACACACACCCTCAAACCGTCATCGGATCCCTGGCTGCTCTCCATCCAGTGGGAAACATTACCGGTCAGCGTGCTCCGTCCCCACCGGCATCCATCTAGCATGGATCCTGCATGGGTGCCCATGGATGGATTGGCACGGTGACTTGGACGAACCCAACGGAGCCACGTACTGAGGTACATACGGATACGCCCTGACGCCCTCCCCCCGGGCAGTTGAGGATAACTGAAGCAGGCGGATCTCGTTTCCTGCCTTTCTTAATTTTATCACGTTATTTCGAATTTCAGATTTTCCTTTTAGCGCGTCCCTCTTTTTCCTTCTTCACCTTCTCTTTCTCCTGGGGCCGAACACAGAACCCTTGCTAACATCCCATGGGCCCAAATCGGGTGTCCGGGCAAAATTAACCCAAACCACGGGTCCAGCTCCGGCGCGAGGAGAATGCTCATTGCTCACTTTCACCCACCCCCTGAGTCCCTGACCGAAACTTCCCATGCATAACTACGACATGAGCAAAGCCAGGCCTGGATCAGCAGTGCAGCACCAGGAAACGGGAAGCGGGCAGACACACCGACAGACACACCAACCCCCAATTTCAAAACCGTTGGGTGGTCTCTTGTTCCTTGGCCCTAGTGTGTCCGTATACAACTACGCGTAGGCATCCGGAGGACGCTACCCGGCCGGATCCTCTCCCCATCGCCGAGGAGCTAACTGCTGCGAAAAGTCAAAGGGCTGGGACGGACCCAATCCAACCCGCTGACGGCTCGTTCTTCCCCTTCTGCCCCCCGGTGGACTAGGCGCATGACGTTGTGGGCCAACCCGCTGGAAAGGCCAAGAGGCCAGAATACTACACTACAGTACCGAACGTACTTGTGTATCCGTAGAGATACAGGGAGACAAGTTCTATCCTGGGATGTTGACTCACCGAGTCACCGGGGAACATGGGCGTTTGGATTCTCGGGAAATTGGGCCTTTCGGTCTGCCAACTGCCGGTGGCATGCAATCGATCCTCCCAGCCCGTCAAGGGGCCCGGTCTAGCCTCTGTGTAGATTGACTGTTTCGCTGGAACCGGTCCCATATCGATTCAGAACATCATATCCCAAGGGAGATTGTTGTCTCGGTGAGGGTCTCACCGGGGTGGGTTGTCTTTCACTCTCTCTTTCATCTTTCAACCCTGCGAAACACGGGCCCTGTCTTGCTTGTGGAGGTCAAGGTAACCTTTACGGTCTCTCGTACGAAATATCCGTCCTCCCGTACGGACACCAGTAACCAGGGCCTCTTTTAATTGTTCTTTGCACTAATCTCTATTGATCATCTCACCGACGGCGCCCCCAATCTATGGAACATTGCGGCTACCCTTCTAGAATATCCACAGACGCGCCGAGTGGTTGGGACGCCCATCCCTGCAGCATTCCCACCAAGAGCCTCAAGCCTCAAGGACCTGCACTGCGGTGTTACCGAGAGTCAGGCTCGTCTCGTCTCGTCCGTACCGTTACCCGTGCTTCTTTTCTCCCTCCCGCTCTCCCCGGTGGCGAGGCTTGCTAGACTCCCTCTCGAGACCCGGGGCTCTCCTTACCGGTCAACTGCACTGTATCTCTATCTGCATGAGTAACTTCGTATTTCGTAAATACCTCTACGGATACACCTACTTTGACCCTGCTTCCCGGGAATGTGACAGCTCACACGCCCCCAAGGAAGGGGACCTCAGATTTCAGGGTACACATCGCTGCTCTCAGGTCATCAGCTAAACCATCCCGCTGGTACATGATGGAGAAGGGGCCGGCATCCCAGGTGACGGGGGAGACGGGGATGCCCAGAGAGAAGAAGTGACAGCACCTCCAGGGGCGAGGGGAGGGAAAGGGGGCGTGCCATTTACATGGAGAAAATTTTGAGCCTCAAGAGGGTGTGTGTGTGAGAGAGAGAGAAAAACGGAGGTCGGTGTGAGTAAGAACAACAAGAAAAAGAGAGATGTGACGACAAAGCGGCGATGGACAAGAAAAACACAAACAACTCACGTCCGTCTGGCCAACGGCATACCCTCCCTGACCTTTGCCCACTCGTCCAAATCCACATCGACAAAGCCAATGGCCCCCTCGGCGCCCTCCTCGGCCCTGCCTTCGGCGTCCACGCCGCCCAGCTCCAGCTTGACCCGACCCCACGGGTCGACAACCATGCTGTGCCCGTAACTGCTCCGCTTCGGGTTATGCGCGCCCACCTGCGCCGCGGCGACGACCCAGCTCTGCGTCTCGATGGCGCGGGCCCGGAGGAGGGTTTCCCAGTGCGCCTGGCCCGTTCGGATGGTGAAGGCGGAAGGGTAAAGGAGGACCTGGGCGGGGCCGTGGCCGCCTCTGCCATTGTCAGGGAGGAAGGGGCTCTTGGGACCCGGGTGCGTTAGGGCGAGGGCCGGTTCGGGGAAGCGGAGGTCGAAGCAGATGAGGCTGCCGGCGCGGCCGACGGGGGTGGGGAACGGGGCCGTGAGGGAGGGGCCGGCTTGGACTGTTGCGCTTTCGCGGAGGGCGCCGTAGTCGAAGAGGTGGAGCTTGTCGTAGGTTGCGGCTTGGTTTATGGTGCCGTCTGCGTTGATCCAGAGGCTGCGGTTGAGGAGCTTCGGGGTGGTGATGATGGCGGATGCGGTTGCGGTTGCGGTCGTCGGTGGCTTCTGGGCGTCTGTTGTGGGGACGTGGATGCCGACGTTCACGGCGACGGAGTGGGTCTTTGCCGCTTCCTGGAGGCCGAGGACGAAGGGGGACTGGGACTGCGGCTGGGCTAGGGAGAGGGATTCTTGCGGGCTTGAGGCGATGTAATCTGCGGCTTCGGGGAGGAAGAGGACCTGGGAGGCGCGGTCAGCGGCGCCTGTTGGTGTTGGTGTTGGTGTTGGTGGTTGGGGGGAAAGGGGGGGAGACATGAAGCCATTCTGTGCTTCAGCTGCAGTTGCATTGCAGGTCTCATTGCAGCATGATGGGTTGCGGTGAGGAGACAAGAGGAGCAAAGCCAACAGGGAAATGCTTTTTGATATCGGCGCCCCCTTTTCTTACAGATGGACAGGATGGACAGGATGGACAACGTACCTTGGCACCGCCGACGGCGGCCTTAGCGACGAGCCTTACGCACTGTTCTAGGTTGTGGGACAGAGAGGCCGTGGAGCAAATTTGACCGACAGCCTGTTTCCACGCCAAAAGGAAGAGAGGACCGCATCAGTAAGTCATCTGCAGAGACACGTGGTCTTTTTTTGGGGGGGGGGGGGGAGGGTGTTGGGCAGCCATACCGCGATCGCCATGTTGAAGATACGGTGAGATGGAACTTTTTCTTTTTGAGAGGATGTGTTTTTGGATGAGATACTAAGGTAGGTGAGGCGGGAATCTACCTAGGATAGGGGTCTGATTCGTGTGGACTGATCCTGGAGAAGGAGAAAGTATGCTGGCCACGTGGCGGATGAAGCCGTTCGGATGATTTTCTTGAGGACTATAGGGTGTGAAAAGGTTGGCGATCTTTCATGCAAGCTAAGGCACCTTATAACAGTTTCTTGGTTGGATGTTGGATGGCGGGGAGTGTGAGGCATCATTCGTGTTGACGGGTGGGCCTACTATTATCGCTTACCTTATCTGATGGTGGGATGCAGCGGGGTAAGGTAAGGAAGGGTGCTGTTGCAATATCCAAGATATGTCCCGTCATTTGGCGTCTTCATACTGGTTCATGTTTTGTCTGATATGCTCATCGCGGCGGGTTATACGTTGGCGGAGAGCTATCAACGCATTTTCATTTTTCTCTTATGAAGACAACAATCTCTTCGATTAGTAACATTCATTTTCTCAAAGCTGTATGGACAGCGAGGGGTGAAACACTCCGTGAAGCATGCATAGTTGCCTCTTTTGCTCGGTTGCGGAAGCCTGGGCCTAATCAATACGTTGCGCACTCCCGATTGATCATGAGAATTGAGAACTTCTAGCTAGTGAAAGTAAATCTACAAGGTGAGATTGTGAGTTCCAAAGACTTTGAGCTCACTTTTTGAGCTCACCATGAGCCTCACCGAAGTGTGGATTGACATGTGAGCCGTGGCCAATGGGCAGCAGGACGTTTGGCTACCTCACTACCTGCATGTACCCTTTTAGCCAATCATGTTATCATGTCATTCTTCTAACTCAATTTTTCGCGGGGCAACAGCACCGGATCGCGGGGCAAATTCAACGAGACTCACTTACTCACGGTGCGACAGACAGCCTTGACTGAAAGTAGCGTGCATCCTCATTTGCCAATTTTTGTGCTCATATGAGAGCCTCTTCTCACGAAGCATCAAATTTGCTGTGAAGCGGACCCCTACGTGAAGTGGAATCCGAAGCAGAACCAGTGTCTCAGCCATGGAGGACGATCGGGCGCAAACCGACTTGGGCATCGCCGCCGATATTGAAGAGGCTCATCGCCAAGAGGAGGCTGCGGCTCAGCCAGTCTTGAAGCAACCAAAGAAGCGCTTCGTCGGAAGAAGAACAGCAGCCGAGACCGCGGCCAAAAATGGAGGCACGAACGGGTCCATCGAAGACAGCAAGTCCATTCAAGGTGTGAACACACGACGCCTCATATGAAAAGCAAACAGCAATATACTCATTCTCATCTCATAGTTGCACAACCCAGAAGAGGCCCACGCCTCCTGAACCAAGTACCCCCCGAGATCCTCAATGATCCGGCACTCAAGTCCGCAATCTCCATCCTCCCCTCAAACTACAGCTTCGAGATTCCCAAAACCATCCACCGCATCCGCTCCTCTGGCGCCAAGAAGGTCGCCCTGCAAATGCCCGAGGGTCTCCTTCTCTTCGCCACCACAATCTCCGACATCCTCACCGAGTTCTGCCCGGGCATCGAGACCCTCATCATGGGCGACGTCACCTACGGCGCCTGCTGCATCGACGACTACACCGCCCGCGCCATGGGCTGCGACCTCCTCGTCCACTACGCCCACAGCTGCCTCATCCCCGTCGACGTGACAAAGATCAAGACCCTCTACGTCTTTGTCGACATCAGCATCGACACCTCCCACCTCCTGGCCTCGCTCGAGCGCAACTTCGCCTCGGGCAAGACCGTCGCCGTCGTCGGCACCATCCAGTTCAACGCCACCATCCACGGCGTGCGCGGCACCCTCGAAAAGGCCGGCTTCAAGGTCCTCGTCCCGCAGATCGCGCCGCTGAGCAAAGGCGAGATCCTCGGCTGCACGAGCCCGCAGCTCCGCGACGATGACGGCAAGGTCGACATGATCCTCTACCTCGGCGACGGCCGCTTCCACCTGGAGAGCATCATGATCCACAACCCGACCATCCCAGCCTACCGCTACGATCCGTACTCGCGCAAGCTGACGCGCGAGACGTACGGCCACGACGAGATGCAGGACCTGCGGCGGTCCGCCATTCGGACGGCCAAGACGGCCACGAAGTGGGGTCTCATCCTAGGCTCGCTCGGCCGCCAGGGGAACCCGCATACGATGGCCCTCATCGAGAAGCGGCTCAAGGACCGCGGCATTCCGTGGGTAAACCTGCTGCTGAGCGAGATCTTCCCGGGCAAGCTGGCCATGATGAGCGACGTCGAGTGCTGGGTGCAGGTCGCGTGCCCGCGGCTGAGTATTGACTGGGGCTACGCCTTCCCGCGGCCGCTGTTGACGCCGTACGAGGCGTTGGTCGCGCTCGAGGTGCGCGATGATTGGGGGAAGGGGGTGTATCCTATGGATTACTACGGAAAGGATGGGCTCGGGCGCGTGAAGCCTGGCCAGCTTGAGGCATCGGCGTGACCACCTTGAGGGGGGAAGGCCGGAGGGCAAAAGAGAAGACAAAAGTTTATGATTCATATAGGAGCACGCAATGATACCTCTTTTCAACGGATTCTGGGAAATATCCCGGACACGAACTTGCGCACCAGGGCTTTTAGACGTCCCACCGCAGACTGATCAAGAAGATCGGCTGGAAGTTCTCGCCAGAATGAGGCACAAAAACAACCCTTTTTTAGGGGTAGAAACGCATGTTATTCAAGCAGGTTCAGAGGCTCTGAGGTTGGCATCGTATCTGACAGCTGATACGACGCTAAATACCACTGTGTCGCCTGCATGCGGTGCTGTTTAGGGGATCTCACCCGCGTTCTTTGTCCATTTCCTTTCGAGAAAACGAGCTTTAAGTCGTAGGGCTGAAGTTGCCAACCAAATGCGTACTTCCTGCAGAAATTCCAAACATTTCGTTGGTCGTTCATTCTTGGCGAACGGTACCCCAATTCCAAAACCGGACAGAATCTTGCCACGATGCCTACAGGATCGGGGATGGTGCCACTGAAAGTCATTGGTGTGCCCTCAAACTTCCAGAGGCAACACCGTTGGCGAGTTCGTACTTATTCCTGGAAGTCCCGCACCAACACTCTTCTCCTTCACCTTATTTGCGATAAGGTGAGGTGAGAGTGCCAGCAATACTCAGGATACCACCGCGGACCCTTCCGAATAAGGCTATTTGCACCGTTTACATGGGTGTGAGCAACGTCGCCAAGGCCTGGCATGTCTGAAAAGCGTCCCGCCGATTGGTTCGTTCGTGTCGATCGGTCTAGGGAACTTTCTGCTGGAACTACTACATCGGCATTCCTTAGCCTTGACCTCCAACTCTCGACTCACATCAAAATCTCGTTGCCTAAGTCAAAAGAGGGGACGAAACTAAAAGAGGGGACGAGACTAGAAGAGGGACACATATCGTTATCAATCGAACTCCATCCTCGAGGGAGATCGACCGCTTTCTCTTCCCGTTTCTGCACATTAAAAGATGGCCCGCAAAGGCAGTCGCAAGACAAGAACTGGCTGTTTTACCTGCAAGTAAGTCCCCCCGTCAAGACCATACCCCTCCCTGCGGCCAGGTTCGCATTCCTTCTAACCACCGCCGGCGCCGGAGTAGGGTCCGAAAAGTCAAGTGCGACGAGGCCAAGCCGGAGTGTATACGGTGCTCCAGCACCGGCCGCATATGCGATGGCTACGCGGACCCGGCCCAAGCCGTGTCGGACCGGCCCCGGCTGCTCAAGGCCCAGAGTATGTTCCCGAGCATCACCAGGCAGGAGGGCAGGGCGCTGCAGTTCTTTTGCGAAATGGTCGGGCCGAATCTGCCCGGCACCACCGACCCTTACTTCTGGACGCATCTCGTCATGCAATTCAGCCGGTACGAGCCCGCGGTGAGGCATTCCATCGTCGCCATCAGCTCGCTGTACGAGGATGTCGTTCGGGTCCAGGGTAGCCCCCTTGACGTGGGGAACGAACAAATTCAGAACCACGCCCTCGCGCTGCGTCACTACAACGCCGCGATCAACCAATTGACCGTCATGGAGAACCAGGGGTTGGTGTTGCTGGTGTGTCTCCTCTTTATTTGTATAGAGTTCCTGCAATCTAACCGAGAGACTGCCCTTCGTCACTGCGCTCACGGCACTGCGATACTCGCCAGCGCCGATTCTGCCTCGTACAAGTGGGTGAGGCAATATCTCACGCCCTTATTTAGAAGATTGAGCTCATTGCCCTTCTTCTTTGGGAGCGGACCGTCGGATATGCTCGATCTGAGCATTTTGAGATACCCGATACCGGACTTCTTTGATAACTTTTCCGAAGCCGAGGCTATGATCGACGACGTATTCAACCAAGCGATGCAAGTTATTCGTCGCGGCGATACGTATCGCGTAGGGCAAAAGCATGATGTTCCAATACCATTAGAACTCCTAGAGGAACAGGATATAGTCTTGAGCCAACTGAACCGGTGGTACGCCATGTTCACAGACCTCGAAGCCAGAGAGGGTCAAACAACTTCCAAAAGCTCGGGATTCGGGCGTGCGTTTGCACTGGCGAGGTACCGCATCTGCCTGATCTGGTTGAGCAACGCATTCATCCGTTCCGAAATGGGCTATGATGACTTCCGCGACGAGTTCAGCAAAGTCGTCGAGGAGACGGCGGAAGCCGCCCTCGAACAAAATAGCAAAGAAATCAAAACGAGTCCCGCGTTCGAAATGGGCTTCATTGCACCGCTGTTCTTCTGCGCACAGCGGTGTAGGGACCTGAGTCGCCGGCTAGAAGCCTTACGTCTTCTTAAGCTTCTCGCCGCACCCCAAGAGAACTTGTGGGATAGGGACGGCATGTACGCCCTGGCTCGAAGAATTATCGAAATAGAACACGGGGTGGAATTGAATATTGAGGGTCGGGTTACTCCAGGGGTACAACCCAAATACCCGGGCCTACCACCGGAGACGACGAGGATACAACAGTTCAACGTTGAATTTGTCAGTGGACGCCAAAAGAACTTTTATGAACACGACGTACGCGGCTTCAAGGCGACGTTATTCATGCGGAGTACGAGCGGCGAGATCTATCTTCGGCCCGAGACCTTATTCGAAGAGAACCCTCAACTGCCTGATGACGTGATTCAAGGGCACATAGGGGCAGTCCTTTTTCCATAAGTTGCGAAAGTAATCAATTAATGAACATATTAGAAATAAAAATAGGAGCCTTGTGCCCCGCGCTCAAGAGATCCCTGATGTATTGAAAAAAGAATCATTGGCACTTGAAAATGTGAAACTGGGTCCAGAGGCTCATCGTAGGTGAAGGTTCAAGGTGGTTGGGATTGCTCAGGCCGAATGATAAACACATCTGTAAAGCATAGGTTTAGTTGGGATATATTCTGATTATACATCAGACCAAATACGACATGCTTTGTTCGAGAGCTCAATGGGCTTGTCATTTTGTGAGAGATAGATCCTGAGACCACTACATTGATCGGGTATCTAAACTTCATTTCACCCTCATGACTTTGCTTCCGCTAAGCTCTCGACAAGAACGCTTGGCGCAAAGCTCAGCCAACACCCGACTACTCATCATTGACTAGAAGAGCTTCTTGCTTTTGCCAGACTCCAAGGACCGCCTTCTTCTGCAGGGAGGTGCAGTCTTATTCTTCAATGCCTCAAGAACTCCATCGTAAGCCGGGTGCTTGCTGAAGTCCTCGAACCAGAGGAGAGCAGCACCCTCACCCGGGAAGACGGCGGGAACCCAGCTGAAAGGGTCATAGAAATCCCAGATCGTGATGCCAATGCAAGCCGCCACCTGAACACAGGCACTGGTAGACTATGGGCAAGAAAGTTAGCGTTTTCGATGCATCCCAAGATGAGCAATGGAGTGACCTACGTTATAATACGCCTCTTTCTGCCAGGCCAGGTTTGTCTCGTTGACCGGGAGCTCGATGCGGACATCCAATTCTGTGAGGGCAACCTCGACTCCAAGCTCGGCGTAGCTGCGAATGACCTCGACTTGCTGGTCCAGGCTAGGCGCGCGATCAGCCACGAGATGGGCTTGCATACCAATGCCATTAACCTTGATGCCGTCGTCCTGAAGCAGCTTCACAATGCGCTTGGCGCCCTCGCTCTTGGGACCGACCGACTCGAGGTTGTAGTCGTTGTAGTACAGCTTCGCCGCCGGATCGACCTCCGCCGCGGTGCGGAAAGCCAACTTGAGGTATTCTTCACCCAGAACGTTGTAGAATACGGACTCGCGATATGTACCGTCCTCGTTAAGGGCCTCATTGACGACGTCCCAGGCGTAGCACTTGCCTTTGTAGTGGCCGGCAACCTCGTGGATATGTCTGACAATCACCTCGGTAAGCTCCTCGGGCGTCCATGTTGTGGTCTCAACCCAGGGGGCGAGCTGGCTGTGCCAGACAAGAGCGTGGCAGCGTAGGATCTGGCCGTTCTCTTCGGCGATGGAGGTTACGATATCACCCTCTGTGAAATTAAAAACACCCGGCGAGGGCTCGGTGAAAAGCCACTGAGCGAGACGTTAGCTTGATGTGTGTCAGATGTGGAATACATTCAAACACCAACCTTTTGACCATTAGTCGGGGTCGTCTGGCCAAATTCGTTGATATCATCGAGGATAGCATCGTACTGCTCGTAAGATGCCTCCAGACCAGCGCGCTCGCGCTGTCCCGGGGAGTCAGTTGCAGCACCAAAGTACAGCAAGCCTGCCTTCTTCGCGTAGTAGTCAAGCTGGGCCGAGGCGATGGGCAATGACGCCGCCAAGAGGGGAACGGTGAGGGATTGGATGTGCATCTTGACCGTCTGGCAACAGTGAAACTCGGGCGAGAATCGAGAGGACCTATCGTAAGAGACCGAGGTCGGCGTGGGCGAGGGTGAGAGGTCAACACGAACGCTCCATACCGAGGGCGACGCAATTCATATATGCAAGATCCGGCCCGCGATGCGACTCCGATTCCCCATGTTTACCCCAATTTTCCAGGCCGCTGGACGAGAACAATCTCCAGATCATCCAATGCAACAGTGCCGAGCTAGCAAGGACTGCCGCCGTGAGGTGACGTCTTCTCAGGGATAGGAACCCGGCTTGAACATGTACCGGCGCCTTGGTCCCAAGGCCTGCAAGCCTGGATCACACGGCGTTGGTTGGAAGGCGAGTTTCCAGGTCAAGTCCCGTGATGTGGGCTCCGGGACAAGTGCGCTGGAAGAGGAGCTCATTCCGGCGAAAACCAGAGATGCGATGGTCGTGGTTGAATAGAACCAATGGCGCTACCAGCTAGCGGCTTACAGGGATCGTCCCTGGCATGGCCTTCCCCATCTTCTGCTGGGGCGGGATGGGGAACCGTTCAATCAGGCTGTCTGCGGTTAAATTAGAGTTGGATTGAGAGCATTTATCCTAATAGCCTCCTCGGGTAGTCTCCAGAGACCCCCTCACGGCCGGTGCGGAGGCGTGGAGAATCCCTGACTGTCAATATAACTTCGACCTTTGCGGTTATTGTCGATATCACTGCCAAGTGCCTTTGTTTGGCCGAGCATTCGGCGAGAACCGAGGCTGTGTTTGACAGCCCTTGACGGGGATGGGAACACAATGGGATGAGGTTGCTTGGAACGCTACATTGCTTGGAATATTGAACTGGTCATCGATATGGCGAAAGCCCATTAACAGTGACGAAGGTAATTGTCATTATAGCGCTAGCGTTGATAACCACTTCAGCCAGCCTAATTTGTATGACCCGCGAGGTCCCTCATAAGTTGTATCAAAAGCAGAGTGAAGTTGACAGGGCGATTGCGCCTACTGTGCAATGTTTCCGGGCGTGAATAGTGAGACCAGTGGTATCATGCCGTGGGGTAGATTCTCTGTTTGCTGATACATGCATGAGCATGTTTGTTACGACGGGCCGTCGTCTCCCAACACCCTCGCGGCAGCAAATGACGTCTTATTCGGGTATTTCTCTCGTTGCTATCATCATCGCCTCATTGCTTGATCACCTAGGGACTTCTTACTATGCGATTCTGAAAGAGGGATGCCTAAATGCAAGTGGGGTCTCATTCTTGCGAGTGAAATGCCATCACGGGGACCCGTGTTGACGTGCATTTCTAAAGGAGACCAAGAAGCACGCAACCTAATGGATGAGACCGAGTGATGGCTACAAAATCCGAAGACTCATAGGCAAAGCGCCAGTTGGCAGTCGTGGTTTATCCAACAAGTAAGCAAATGCTTCCGGCTGAAGAAGTGCTGATTATGAGAATAACTACCATGAATTACCGCCAACCAAGGCACTTAGCCAGAACAAGTCGACACGTACGCATCATTGATGCTACTCGAGCCAACCTGACTTATTCAAATAATCAGTGATTTCTGCGGCACTCGGATCATGTTGCTCAAGAAGATACAATTGCCGAAGATCTGGGGAAGCTGATGTGCGTCTCATTCGTCGCTTTGACCGCAGGCTACCACTGCCTCGAACCGCAGGCATATGATTTGTGAACCGCAGCTGTAATCCTGTCGAAAAGGCATACCAGCTTATGAGATGAGCTTCTGGTGGTGAGGCTTACCAATATGTAGCGGGGATGAATGTGAGGTTGGCAACCTTTGCTGAGAGCTTCATGAGTCAAGGATGATCTGCCAAAGGCCAACCAAGGTGGGATACCTGGTGGTCGCACCTTCGTAGACCAACCATGATGGCGCCGGAGCCGCCGCAATGATCAAGCGTCACGGAGACGAACGATGAAGGGAGATCTGCCGTTCCAGTCATAGTCCTTCTAGTCGGTAATCGTGGCAACACGACAAGACAAACGGTGCGATCGCTATTGCCCTTGGCAACCCCTTCGCCCTCTTGGCTCGACATGACAAGCCTCGTCGGCGTGGATGTGATTCCTCAAAGATCGGCCCGGTGGCTTTGAGCCGTCGATAACAAATAACAAAGGTGTCTCCTATGTGTTTTCCGTGCCAACGGGCTCAGGCCGATTCCCAAACATGACCTTGTACTTAACGATCTCCGCAATCTCAAGCTCCTCCTCAGCCTCTCCTTCACCGCTAGTGGCGGCGTCCCCCCTCCGCCGGATGATGGCCATGGCCTTCGGGAGCTTCTTCACCTCGCCCTGTAGTCTCTGATGCTGGCCGACATAGAGGAAGACGCGCTTCATCCAGGCTGTGCTGCCCTCTTCCTGCGTTTCGGGGTGATAGTCAGGGAAGATCACTTTGCCAATGGAAATCTCAGGCTCCTTTTGGCTGGGTTCCTCGTCGGGGTTGAAGTGAGGTACGTTGACGGTTCCTTGCATCTCAAGCAGCGCGAGTCCAGAGGGTGTCTTGATGAGCGGGGGCAATGGGCTATCTGAAGCTGATGAGCCCTTCTTGGGTGGATAAATTTTGACTGATGACATTGCTGCAAAAAAGAGTTCGTGAGTTACTTTTCTTGGCGATATACGTGGTACAGAAACTTGATCGTGGGAATGACTGGATGACAGGAACGACGTTTGTTCGTGATATGCGGATATGCATCGTCAAGCGGGACCCTATGGTAGTGGAGTCGTCCATCTGAACCTGCCCGGAGAACGGCGGCTATGGTGGGGGTACGTATCCCGGTCCGCTTACCTTCCTAAACAGGACAGGCACGTGACCCGGGGCTGGCTGAGCACGGCCCATGGAAAAACTCACCGACAGAACTTCAAGCGGCCTGTGATTGGCTCAGGGATTTTTTTTCGCAGCAGGGCTCTAGCGACGCACACATTCTCGAAAATTCAAGAGTAACTTTCCGCTTTTCCTCCTTCCCACTGAACAATCCACGCCCAACGCCCAGCCGTAGTCGACAACTCTTGCACCACCCAACGCCGGCAAGATGAAGGTACGATAACACCATATCCCGACAGACGAGAGCGATACAATCGAACGCGATGGAATTGCCAAAAACAACGACGTCGAGTTCGAAATCGCTGGCGCTCTGATCATTGAACCGAATATCTGGGGATATTTGGAGGGGGAAAGTCAGTTTCGAGATTGCTGACATTTTTTTCTTGTTCAACAGTTGAACATCTCCTACCCTGCCAACGGCAGCCAGAAGCTCATCGACATTGAGGATGAGCGCAAGCTCCGCGTCTTCATGGAGAAGCGCATGGGCGCTGAGGTCCCCGGTGACTCCGTCGGCGACGAGTTCAAGGGCTACATCTTCCGCATCACCGGCGGCAACGACAAGCAGGGTTTCCCGATGAAGCAGGGTGTCATGCACCCTACCCGTGTCCGCCTCCTCCTCTCCGAGGGACACTCCTGCTACCGCCCCCGCCGCACCGGCGAGCGCAAGCGCAAGTCCGTCCGCGGCTGCATCGTCGGCATGGACCTCTCCGTCCTCGCCCTCTCCGTCGTCAAGCAGGGCGAGGCCGACATCCCCGGCCTCACCGACGTCGTCCACCCCAAGCGCCTCGGCCCCAAGCGCGCCACCAAGATCCGCAAGTTCTTCAGCCTCACCAAGGATGACGATGTATGTGTGCTCCCTGTTGCGGTCCACCCTTCCAACAGCCACTTCGTCATCGCCTACCTGGTTCTGCGGAGGAGGGTCGAGCAGACCAGGTAGAGTGTGAGAGACGGGACCGTGTTTCCCCTCTGCCTTCGAACTATCTTCTTTCATCAGACGATATCTGTTGAATGCCTTGAGAAAGAGCGCCAGATATATCAGAGAGCGAGAGAGAGAAAGAGAGAAGGACGAGGTGGGAACATGTGTCGGGCTTTTAACCCAATGCTATACATATCACAATACCCTTTGCAAGTGGCTAACGAGGCATTCTTTGCTGCAACTTTTAGGTCCGCAAGTACGTCATCCGCCGCGAGGTCCAGCCCAAGGGCGAGGGCAAGAAGCCTTACACCAAGGCTCCCAAGATCCAGAGACTCGTCACCCCTCAGCGTCTCCAGCACAAGCGCCACCGCATCGCCCTCAAGCGCCGCCAGTCCGAGAAGGTCAAGGACGAGGCCGTACGTTACCACCTTGTCCACCACATGTTTACGTTCCTATTCATGCTAACCTCTTTATCCAGAACGAATACGCCCAGGTCCTCGCCAAGCGCGTTGCCGAGCGCAAGACCGAGAAGGCCGAGCTCCGCAAGCGCCGCGCCTCCTCCATGCGCAAGTAAACTTGTCGTCATGGCGGCGGTGTTGTTGCGTTGGGACTCATGAAAAAAGTGAAAGATTACTCGGGTCTTCTGGTTTTCTTGCATTGGCGTGGAAAAAGGGAAATGGGGCACTGGGAACTTCTTGTTATGAAACCAGTTTTCAGTCACATCACATGAATGTAATAGGGCATTCAAAAATGGAAATGCACATCCTTTTGACACGCGAAATACCACCACAAGCAATTGTTTTATGATGTTTTGAAAAACATTGATTCCTCGCTCGTGACCCCCTTATCTACCCAACTGCCCACCTGCCAGTCAGACGACCTGAGCTCCCAACCCATCCATGTTCAGGCGCTGGAAGACACTGCTAGAGTCTTAAAACCAGTGTACTGTCATTCATGCCCCGCACAGAAATCCGGGGTTGGGCCGTCTAGATTTTCATTCTCATCCTGGGCGGGGTCGACTTTTCGTCTGGAGCTGGCATCAAGGCAGACCCACCAGACCCTGCAAATCTTTGGCCCAGACGATTGACCGCAAAGCTAGGGGAGGTCTGACTTCATCTATGAAGCAAGAGAGACATCACATGGCCGCGTGAGCGAATTCATAGAGAGAATCCATTTCGTTCTTCTGATCTGGAAATATGTCGGTTCACCCGAAACTTTTCTCTAAACGCAGTTTTCTTCCTGCCGGTTGGAAAAAAGAAAAAAAGGAAAACCCGCAAATGACCCGTTTTGTGCCGTTACGCCCCCTTCCAATATGCCATGAAAACCTAAAAGGCTGCTGCGACCGAAACTATTTAAAATCTCCCCTCACCCGTCACGAAACCCCTCTCTAGACGGGAACGTGGTTGAAGAGGTAGCTGACGCTCTCGCCGTTGTGGGTGCGGCGAATGGCTTCGCCCAGGACCTGGCTGATGTCGATGACGCGCAGTTTGGGGCAGCGCTCAATCTTGTCGCCGAGGGGCACCGTGTTGGTGACGACGACGCGGGAGAGGCAGCTCTTGTTCAGCGTCTCGACGGCGTTACCGCTGAGGACGCCGTGGGTGACGATAGCGATGACTGTTTTTTTTTTTCAATGTCAGTGTGTAGCTCTTCATGTCTTGTATACCGAGGATGAACCAACCTTCACGCGCACCGCCGGTCTCAAGAGTCTCCGCAGCCCTGTTGTATCGGTTAGTAGTGTCAAACATGATGTCATTGGGGTATACGAACTTGGCGAGGGTGCCACAAGTGTCAGCCATGTCGTCGACCAGGATGGCAATCTTGTCAGTGACGTCTCCGACGAGAATCATGCGGCCGACAACGTTGGGGCGCGGGCGCTCCTTGTGGATGAGGGCGAAGCCGGTCTCCAGGCGATCGGCAATACCGGTGGCACGCTTGGCGCCGCCCGCGTCGGGACTGACGATGACGCAGTCCTCGACGTTCATGTTCTGTCTGATCCACTGGAGGACACTCGGCTCCGCGTACAGGTTGTCGACGGGGATGTTGAAGAATCCCTGGATCTGCGAGGCGTGAAGGTCCATCGTGATGACGTGGTTCTGTGTTGTGCCGCGGGGTCAGCCCGAGATGCTCTCTCTTGAATGCCTCGTCTCTCTTTCCTCCTCCAACAGACACCCAAAGACTTACGCAGCCGGAAACCTGCAACATGTTCGCGACAAGCTTGGCGCTAATCGGAGCACGGCTCTTATCCTTCTTGTCCTGTCTAGCGTAAGGGAAGCAAGCTGTGTGTGTATATCTCCAGTCAGCGAGCGATCCTTTTCTAATCATGCGACATCCCTATAGATCGTTCGGAGACAGGAAAAAGTAGACTGACGAATGACGGCGGTGATTCGACGAGCAGACGCGGTTCTGCAGGCGTGGATCATGATGAGAAGCTCCATGAGTCCGTCGTTGATGTTGCCGGGCTCGCTGGACTGGACGATGAAGACATCCTCGTCGCGGACGCTCTCGCCGACGGTGACACAGTAGAGAAGTCAGCTTTTTACAGGCCACTCAACGAATCGGAGCCTGCCCGGGTTCGAGAGATTTATTCGCTAACCTCGTCTCTTGGTTGGAGTAGTTCAAGCTGTAAGGAAAAATAGCGGTCAATTGGACTGTTCCCCAAAGGTTGTCGCGCCTGCGCCCAGAGGGTGACAGATCGCGGAGGGTAGGTGAAAAACATACCTCATAGTCTTCGCAAGGGGAATGCCCAGTCTGCAAATATCCGCAACGCTACGTCAGCGATCGCTACTTCTTCCTCTTGCGCCCATTCCTCTGCGTCAAGGAAGATCATACCGCTGAGCGACCTTTTCGGACAATTCCCCATGGCTGCTGCCCTTGAGGAGCTTGATGTCGTTCGCCATATCCCCCATGAGGCCGGTCGATGTGTGACGACGAGGGGAGAAAAAAAAAGAGAAGTATTTCGAGGAGGGGCGATCGGCCAAATATAAAGGGTTCCTGCTGCTGCGGCACCTTGCTGAGGGTTTGGCAGGCTAAGGTACAGTCGGATTCGGTCTGGACGAATCGAATCGCAGCGCGGGGTCACGATGGAGGGGTATGGCTATCGGTCGGTCGGTCGGTGTGGTGGTGTCACACACACTATGGTCGAGGTCGTTTGGGGGAGGCTTTTTCTGGTGGTGATATGCGGTTGAGTGAGACAGCGTGAATATTGTTTCCGGGGGGTTGCAAGAGCAAAGAGTCTGTGAACAGCTTCCACTATGAGTAATTGCCGGGTCGGGTCTATCGTGTGCTTGTCCACTTGGAAATTCTCACCGGCTGGGATCGGAGTTGGCTGCTTGGGAAAAAAGTACGAAAAAAAAAACTAGTGCTTTGTCGGCATTGTTCCGCAATCCCTGAGAGGTCAACATTATGTGGGGAAAGGCATGGATCCGTCCTCGGCTCTTGCTTGCCTCACTGTCGCCTTACATTCTTAGGATACTAGCTAATGATGCCATGCTGCCTCCAAGTGCAGATGCAATTAACCAACTCAGCATTTCTTCCCTCTACATATTCAATGATCAAGGTTCATCTTGAATTAGACTCAGCTATCTTGAACAATAGAACTCGAACCGCATAAAAGGCCCGAACCACAGATAGCTTCAATACATGACCCGGATACATCCAATTCATGCTGTTGTCGGCCGAGTCTGCAATTCGGGCACCCCTATGTAGCATTCCTAGTTTGGCCGACTGCCGAAACCCCAAGAGCAGACCATAAACCCAAGGCAGAATACTTCTTTGGACTTTCCACTTTGGTATTACTGTGTTCATTATCATCTAACGAGCTTCGCATTGGATACTCTACATACTGGACCTCCATACCATCATCAGCCAGCTGTTTGTTGTCCCAAGCGGCCTGCACTCCGCGAAGAACCAACTGACGACTCGCGATGAAAAGGCCTCAAAATAGAAAGAGAATACACGCGAGCAGACCTGACCTAGTACTTCCTAGGCCAAGGTCGAGAGAGTTACCATATGTACACGTGGTTCGGCATCTATTCACAATGCCCTCCCACTCGAAATCACGCGCGTCACCCCCACGCCAATGTCCTGTGTCGCCTTCCATCCATAATGCAAATGCTG